TAATATCTTGCTTACTAACTGATGATACTTTAAAATGAAGTATAAAAGATCTTTTGAGTAGAAATTTCTTATATTCTTTTATAATTATTGATTAAATTATGTAATCAATGAATTTTAAGCTCTAAGATTCTATGGCTTTGTCAGTAGTCTTAGAATACTTAGATTTCTTCTACTTGCCATTATTACAGTAGTTGAATAAAAGGTTTTACAATCATTTGATACCTTAAGCTTCTGAAATGTGCCAAATAAAGTTCGTAAAAACAAAGATCTATAATTTATAACCAGATGACAAACTTTATGAACTATCTGCCTAAAGTATAGAGTTTGGATAAAACTGGATGATGCTTCCTTTTAAAAAGTTGAACTTTGAATTTAGTACCTACTCAAGATATGCTAAAGTAATCCAAATTGACGCTAGATTTGTGTTTTTTATATCAGGAATGGACGAATATGATATGTGCAGTACTCCTTAGTGCTATGCTTATGACATCTAAGACAACAGTCTGATATCTATTCCTGATATAAAGTTCCCTAGGAATTCTTTTGGAATCACTTTTATAAAAGGTTTGATTTATGTTATTGGAGGAATTGAGATGGGAACTAATACAACTACCAAAGAAACAGAGGTCTATGATATCTTTAATTGCAAATGGAAAACATGGATACCCATTCCTTGTGCTAAAATAGGTATCTCTGCAGTCTAATTGAAAAATAGATATATCTATCTGGTAGGTGGTCTCAATAATTAAAGTAATAAGCATACAAAAAATAGATAGTTCCTTGATAAATTTCTCATGATTGATACCTTAAATGAGGCGAAAGGATGGTAAAAGATAAGAATAAAAAAAGATGTTAGAATTCCAAATGGTTGTTAGTTTGGTGTATTACCTTACAATACACCAAATGAAGATCCAAGTATTACACATTTCTTGATCTTAGGTGGTGTTAATAAGGATTTATATCATGATGTATATGATGTGACTGTTAAAGAAAATTCAAAATATGCCTATCCAAAATTGCTACCATGGGTACTAGAGGAATAAGATAGATTCTATTTCAATTAGTCTTTCCAGTCAAACTTGCTAGATTATTGCTAAGAAAAATATATAGTAGGTAGAATGGCAGCTTATAAATTTACGTTTAGTCATGACTTAACTGAGATAGTTGAAATGAATAACTTTTAAGAAGCAGGACATTTTTTCAATGACAATGGTGCTCCTTTCATGACTTTCAGATGAAATTGAAAGTCCATTATTAAACTAAGTTAAGGGTGAGTGGTGTCTTGACATTAGAGGTTAGTGTTTTACTTCCAATCTATCTTTGCCTCAAAATGATCTTTTAGTATTTAAAATAATATAGAAATATTCCTTTAAATTCATTAATCTTTAATTTCTAATATTCTCATCTTTCAATTCAACTTTTACTATCTCTAATGGGGTTTTGGGGTTTTGGGGTTTTGGG